TAGTTACAAGTGGCAGAAACAAATCAATCCAACTCCCAACGAATGCAATACAATGGAAAACCACAAAGTTGGGTGATGCAGGTTCTGACATCATCTATCTTATCTTTATCAATATTTCTATCTATCCATCTATATTATCTATATCTATATCTATATCTATATCATCTATTCTATCCATCTATCTTATCTTTATCAATATTTCTATCTATCCATCTATATTATCTATATCTATATCTATATATATCATCTATTCTATCCATCTATCTTATCTTTATCAATATTTCTATCTATCCATCTATATTATCTATATCTATATCTATATCTATATCATCTATTCTATCCATCTATATTATCTTTATCAATATTTCTATCTATCCATCTATATTATCTATATCTATATATATCATCTATTCTATCCATCTATCTTCTTTATCAATATTTCTATCTATCCATCTATATTATCTATATCTATATCTATATCCTCTATTCATCCATCTATATTATCTTTATCAATATTTCTATCTATCCATCTATCTTCTTTATCAATATTTCTATCTATCCATCTATATTATCTATATCTATATCTATATCAATATCTATGTATCATCTATTCTATCTATTTATATATCTATCCATCTATCTATATTATCTATATCTATATCTATATCAATATCTATATCTATATCATCTATTCTATCCATCTATCTTTATCAATATTTCTATCTATCCATCTATATTATCTATATCTATATCTATATATATCATCTATTCTATCCATCTTATCTTTATCAATATTTCTATCTATCCATCTATATTATCTATATCTATATCTATATCCTATTCTGTCTATTTATATATCTGTCAATTATATCTATATGACTCTCTTATATCTATATCTGTATCAATATCTATATATCAATATACCAATATCTATCTCTATATCTGTCAATTGTATCTCTCTCTCTTATATCTGACTCTTATATCCATACCTATATCAATATCCATATCGATATATCAATATTTATATCTACCTAAATTATCTATACCTATCAATATCTCTATTTCTATCAATATCTCTTACGATCTAATTATATTATCTATATCTATCAATATCTATCTCTATCAATATTAATACATTGATATCAATATCTATCAATATTGCTATCTATTTATATCTGTCTGCACACCCTCACACGCACACACATACTCGCAAAATGAATTTGTAAACCTCACAAAGTCTTTTGATAGAGAGCGATAGTTAGATAGATGCCCCAATTCTCTGTTTGCCCCTTTGAATTTTCACCCCTTTGCTGGCTAATACACTGGAAAAAAAATGAAATTAGCTGCTTTTCTTGTTTTGTTTTCTTCGTCGACCTCCTCAAAGTCTGGCTTCACACCATTCTGTAAAGCTTTCTGAGAAAAGGTTTTCTTCTCAAGGCGAGATGGGGGGAATAGAGGAATTTTAAAATAAGCAAACTAAGGAAACCTTCACGTGATTTAGGGAGGGAAGCCAAGGAAGGAATAACTGATATTTCCCTGACTTTAGGCTAATTTTTAAAACCAGGAGAGAAAGAACAACTCCTTCCTGAAATCCCCATCTTAAGGATCTCCTCAGAGGGCTGAATAAAAATGTTACTTTTCTCTCCTCAAAAAGAAAGAAAGGAGAAAGAAAGAAAGAAAGGGAGTCAACCCATGAGGAGTTACATGAGGAAAGGTGGAAGAGAGAGGACCATAAATGTATTTAAAAATGCCCGCCTTTTCCTCTCCTGCTTGCAATGGCCACTAATAAGCTGCCCAAAATGGTGGAAAATGGCGCCAGGATGGCGGCCTATTGCGTCTCCTTCCTCCTCCTCCGTCTTCTTTTCCCTCATGAGGGTGGGGGAAGTGCTATAATGATACAAACTTTAAAATACAGTCTCTTCCAAATCCTATCTATCTATCTATCTATCTATCTATCTATCTATCTATCTCTCTCTCTCTCTCTCTCTCTCTCTCTCATCTTTTTAATTAGATTTCTAAGGCCACCCAGTTCAAAAGCTGTTCCGGGCAGCTTTACAAATCTAATGGATTAATGACAGTGGACTGCTAAATATGTCTGCCATTTCTGGAGGAGTCTTGAGAGATGGACTAAACCGTTAGCAGGAGTGCGGCCATATTTGTTGGCAAGCCTGCCTGATGGGTTCAATCCCATCTTTAGGAGAATCTCAAATCTCGAAGAATTTATTTAAGGCCATCTGCTAGACAATCTTCATTTTGGTCACCCACCAGCCAAACCCCTTAATCCAGATTGAGTTGGTGTCCCTGCAAGAGGCCTGATCAAATCACTTGAAAGACCCAGGGGTTGCCTTGGAAAACATACTAAACTTAGTTTATTTTAAACCCAGTTTAGTTTGGGGAAGTCCCTTGGGCTATTCTGTGAACCCAGCTTGCTTGCTTTTTTTTTTTCCTCCCCCCTTTCTCCCTGTCAAGGTATTGTTTTAAGCTAGAAAATAGGTGAATTCAGGAGCTGGGTTAAGCATGTTGTGTGAACCTGCAAGCTTCCCTGTGTCTTTTCGGAACCGAGTCCCACTGACTTCAATGGGGCTTTAAATTAGATTTCTAATTTTGCTTTTCCTCCAGGTGACTCAAGGCCAGAAAGGAATCCCCTCATTTTCCTTCTTATCTTCATATCTGTCTTGTAAGGTAGAGTTAGGCTGGGAAGTAAAAGCCATACCACGAACAAAGCCTTGGCTTGTTTTAATGATGGTTTATTGGACAATAAACATGTTGGTTTTAATGACGGCTTGTTGGAATCATGGCTTGCAAGCCACCATGCACATCACATTAAGCCAGGAGTTTTTATCCTAGGGTCCACAGATAGATTTCAGGGAGTTTGCGAACCTGGGTGGGAAAAAATATAACTTTATTTTCACTAACTGGGATGTGATGATTTATGACCTCTAGACTCCAAAAATGGTGGTTCACTTAAATATCACTACCTAAAATTATTACCCCCCCCCCCAAAAATGGTATTGAAGGGCATTGTTTTGATACACAATTTTACACTCTCTCATAATGTGTGGGCATGCATGCGATAGGGCACTCTATCTTATTTACAAAGGATTAACCTGCTTTGTAAAGAGCCCAGCGTTTCTTTCCCCCACCTTATCTCTTTGTTGAATCCCTGATTGCCTTCCAAGAGAGCACAGCATTTCCCCACCCCATTTCCTTGAGAAGCAATTAGCCAGATGCCTGACTGAACAAGTCAGGTATAAATTAGAGCATGCATGCGATAGGGCACTCTATCTTATTTACAAAGGATTAACCTGCTTTGTAAAGAGCCCAGCGTTTCTTTCCCCCACCTTATCTCTTTGTTGAATCCCTGATTGCCTTCCAAGAGAGCACAGCATTTCCCCACCCCATTTCCTTGAGAAGCAATTAGCCAGATGCCTGACTGAACAAGTCAGGTATAAATTAGAGCATGCATGCGATAGGGCACTCTATCTTATTTACAAAGGATTAACCTGCTTTGTAAAGAGCCCAGCGTTTCTTTCCCCCACCTTATCTCTTTGTTGAATCCCTGATTGCCTTCCAAGAGAGCACAGCATTTCCCCACCCCATTTCCTTGAGAAGCAATTAGCCAGATGCCTGACTGAACAAGTCAGGTATAAATTAGATTCGTACCGGGCAGGCAGAGACACCGAATTCCAAACAAGTTAGGCATTTCCTTGGTAACCAGAAGAAAAAAGTTAAACTTAGATTCACCTCTTTAGGGCCCACCTTTACTCCTCCCTGGGTCATCCCCAAATTCCCTTGTATGGATATGAGGGGGTGTACTATCTGAATACATCTGAATATGCCTATAAAATCTTTGTTGCTTGCTCTGCAAGGTGTGGTTCTGGCAATACTCCTGCCACGGTGTTGGACTTGAACCATCCAGAAGTTTCCTTGGCCAATAAAACCTCTGTTAATTAAAAGCCTCGTCTCAAGTCTTCTTATTTGGCTTCATTGAAACTTGGGAAATAAAAGGTGCCATACAGTTTTATCTTTAATAACAAGACAAGGAAACACCTTTGGAGCCTAGAGGTCATAAATTATTTAATGCAGTAATAAAGAAGCACATATATTACGTTTGTGTTATTTTTCAATAGCTCGGTAACTATATTTGAGCAAAACGGGTTTATTTTTAGTGCCCTTTATTTTGTTGCATGCATTGAAATGCATTTTTATGAGAAGGGGGGGTCTGTAGGTTTCGTCAAATTCTCCAAAAGATCCATGGGGCAAAAAAGGCAACCTCCCCCCCCCCCGCATTTTCAGCATAAATCAGACAATTGGGTCATGCGTGCAAAAAATCCAAGTGAGCAACATATTTTTAGCATCCTGAGTTTGTGTGTGCATGTCGAGGGCAAACCTTTTATATTAGAAGAGTGAAAAAAACCCACAGGGAAGCATCATCTAAAGCTGCTGTGTTTGCTTGCACACCTGCCTTTTAATGCAACGTAATTTTACAGTCATTGGAGTTTTTTGCGAGGGGGGTGGAGAATAGAAAGGAAAATGTGTGCACACGCACACACACACACCAGAAAGGGAGAATCAGTAGTGATGAAACTGGGAAAGGCACGTGCAACCATTTGGTACAATTATAAAGACGACAAACACCCCAAGTGTTCTCAGCCATGGGATAAACCCAACCAGAAAAGATGCTATAACATGGTGGTAAACATCTGGGGAACATCTGCCTTAGATGAGGATGAGGGTCCTTCAGCTAACTCAGATGAGGTTCTATCCTGGATTTACACGCATTTGAATGTTGTCTTGCTTCACTGCCTTGTCTGTGGGCATTTCCTGTCTGTATTACACTTTGCAGTCAAAGCTCATCTTTTCTTAAGCTGTGCTTAATTCACCCTTTCAGCCTTGGCCTCCTTTGTTTGCTGATTGCTTTCAACTCATGAACCTTCTGCCCACATTTTAGTGTGCCAAAGCACTTCCATAATTGTTTACTGTTTCATAATAACAATGCGTTGTTCTCCCAGCCTTCCTAGAAACTGGTTGGGTAACTTGGCAAATATCAAGATAGAAGTCAAAGTTTAAGAACGGCTCCCGAGTCTTGTCATTGGAGCTGCTGATCTAGTTTTAGTTAATCTGTGTTTTCTGCTTTGATCATTCAAGGTTTTCCTACAACCACTTTTGCCCCAAGCATGTTCATGCTGTTCTATGCAAGCTAGGATCTCTAGAGACTACCTTGCAAGCCATCATTGTCCATATACCACCAACGAGGAGATACCTACAGTGTATAGGCACACAGGATTAACCCATAATATGGACTACTGTTCTAAAATATGAGTTGATGAATGCATGTAGGTTTGAACATCTGGATTTCCCTGAAACTTCAGCTCTTCATAGGGATTCATTGGCAGTTCTGGAGGACATTTAGTGTATATGATGCATAAGTATGAGGTCCATCTGGGCCCATACACATGGCTTCTTGAAAAGATCTTTTCCCATCCAGTCCAGAGATATGCAAAGTTTGTTGTATGTTTTTATAGCTCTATTTATGACAATGCTGGCCCTTTATGCTTCAGGAAAACTAATTCCGTAAAGTTGTTACTTAGAAGCCTTTCAAAGAACAGCAATGTAATTTTCAAAATAGTCCCAGAATAAGATAGAAAGATATAGATGATAGATAGATAGATAGATAGATAGATAGATAGATAGATAGATAGATAGATAGATAG